AAAAGATGACTGTGAGTCGTTTCTGTGGCTTTAATAGCTGAAACGTTTTGGTGTGATCGGCGCAGCAGCAGCTGCTGGTAATCTTAGCAGAAACTTTCCCTGAAACAGACGACGGGCTGCGCTACAAACTCCCAGCTATGTGTGTTTACAAGCAGCGAGCGGCTGCAGCGCAGCAGCGCTCTCACGTTAAAAAGGTCATTGTTGCTTGGGAACGGCGCCATCTGTCCACCCTTCAGTCGGCAGACAGTCGGAGAAAGACGGAGAAAAGCATCAGATGGTTGTGTTTTCACAGAGGTTAGCATCTACAGTCAGCGAAGATGATAAAAAATATCCCAGGAATATTGTTTTGAGACATCTTTTAACTAATATTTTTTTAATTAATATTCTCAAAGATCCATAAACTTTAAATTCTAATGAACATTTAGCGCTGGAACTGGAAGACATTTTAAATGTCCAAAATACATAAACAACAGAGACAACAAATAAAATGAATTATGAAGTCTCTGTAAACAAACTTGTCCTTCAAAAAGAAATGGCCAGATGAGACCAAAACACAGACTGAAGACTTTTATCATTCAGTTTTTGGTAGAAAGAGAAAAATGATAAATCATGCAAATGGAAATGATTGAGCTCATTTTCATTTATCATGCAGATAATTGATTTATTGCTACAGGCCTGGGTGTGTTCACACCAGTCCTGTTTAATCCAACTCCAGTTCATCTGTCTACAAAGTTTGGTTCTTTTGTGGAGGTGTGAATGCTAATCAAATTCTCGTCTGCCTGCAAACCTCAGAGCAGGGCATTCTGGGTAAATACCAAAACCAAAACAAACGTGCTAACTTGGCGCTAGCAGGAGAAATGTTTCTTTATCCGAACACTAAAGAGAAATCCTCCAACCACTAAAATCTGACACCGCTCCATCTTTGTTAAGAAGGAAGTTGCGGTCAGTGTTTCCTTCAGACGTTTTTGAGTTGTTTTCACAGATTTCTGCTTAAAGTGGCATTCAACTGCATCCTTTTGACGCATTGCAAAACTGAAGTACCGCCCTCAAAGGACACTTTTTTTTTTAAATCATCTGTAGAAGAACCGAGAGATAACACCATGCACCAGAGAAATCCCTTGACGTCCAGTTAAACTTGACTAAAATTGATTAAACTCCACATATTTGCCCGGCGGGAAGCATAAAAGTCACTTTCTGGTGTCCGTAACGCAAAGCGATGACCAGCGGTCCGGAAGCAAATCGCCTCTCTTCCTCTCCATCTCCAACTCGCTGACATAATCCACCTCTGCGGATTTAGTCTGAGATCCAGCAGATGTGAGATGTTGTTTGGAAGGTTATGTCATAATGAAGTGGTGCAGCTGCAGCCAAGATGCCTAGAAGGGATCACAGGAGATCAAGGAGCCGCCGTCAAAGCAGAACACGTTGCCCTTGACAGCTGGCGCCGTGGGAGGCGGCTCTTCGACGGCCCCACAGCAGATAAACGCAGAGTTTTGTTTGGTGCACACGTGAGGGCATTGGGTAAACGCTGCCCTTGTGCCGGATGTGGCAGGCTGGGCGGAAGGAACGGAGCAGGGAGACTGAAGGAGTGATTGACGTTTCACCTCACAGGAGTTTACTGAGGCCACCGCTTCACGCGAGCACGGACAGGAAGTTTCAACTCAACACAAAGGTCAAAACATAAAGAAAAACAGGCATGCTGGCCGCGCCAACAACATCTGAGGTGTAAGAGGGAGATTCAGATAATCAAAGAAAAATATCTGGAGTTGCAGTGTAAAGAAACTAAAACTTTGTGGTAATATTTAAATACATCAGTCCAGCAGTAGCAGAAAATACAAAGATACGGAAGAGTTTATAGGTGTCCTGTTAGGCTTCGTAGAGCAGGTTAGGGTTGGAATATGGTCTAAACAAAACATCTTCATTACAATTTTTGCACAAATTCATTCTTAGATGATGAGACTTTCAGGTTTTTGGTCCATCTCTGTCAAAAAGCAAAACACAGTTAAGAAAATATACCACAATTTTGAAGTATGGGCTCTTTTCTAATTTCCTGTGGCAGCTAGCTGTGCTGCAGAACTGATCCTAGCCAGCAGATGAGCAGGAACTAATGGTGGAGAGTTGTTTTCTGCTGTTATTTTTATGCAGTTCTGCAGCTAGCAACGTTTCAGTTAGCATGTTTACTTTGGCTTTCTTATAAACTGCCAAGATGAGATAACAGGAAGTCTTTGCATCATCTTCAGTCTTCTAATCACTTATTCATAACCACACTATATCATCAAAAACAGTGTGCATTCTTATACACAAGCAAGTGTTTATTTTTATTTTTTTTATCCTAATACATTAAAAAAGATTCCAAACTACATAATTGTTGCTTTAGTTATTATGTTGTTTTCATTCTGGCAAGCAGATATCAAAACGAAGCACAGCGACCTTTTCATATGCAGTCTGGATAACACAGTTTTTCTTTCTCTGATCAAACACTCTGCTTTGCTTCAAATGTTAGAAAGTGCATCTTTGATTCGCGTCCAACGTGTGGGAGTGGGGTTGGATAAACAGGCTCGCACAGCAGGGGAGGAACAGAAGCGAAAACAATGAACACAAGCTAAAGCAGCTCCGTGTCGCTGTTTGTGCTGCTCAGGTAAATTAGACTGAAGTAATGTTTCTGCTAGTCATCTGACACATTTACCTTGTTCCTTTGATTAAGCAGCTAAGACAACAAGCGCTCGCTGTGTTTGCATCGATTGCGCCGTTTCTAGCGGTGATTAAACTGCAGCAGCCTCGTGTTCCCCTGTCAGGGCTGAAACTCACTGAAACCTCCGCATCCTCCATCTCATGTGTTGCCAGGTTTGATCTGGGAAAACATTTAGCTGAGTTTGAGGGGTAAAATAAATGTTTTTAATAACTCCTGATGCGTTTTTTATGAACACAGCCGACTGCTTCGCCTTCAGCTGCAGAAACACAAGAGTGAAGCTGAAGCTGGCAGGTTATTGCAGTCACATTCGCATTATTTTTGCAAATATATTCCATGTGAACCGCTACTTTGTTTTTGTTTTTAAGTTATGCAAATCTCTTGTATATGGACTATGCAATATGCTGGAAGCAATATATGCAGTAAAGTGAGTAATACACTAGAAACATATGCAGCTATTTCTCACAGGGTTAGGTTCTTATTTTGATCTTAAAACATAAAATCATAGCTATCTGCAGCTGTGTTAAAAATAACAGCAGGAAAAAATATATTTACTAGTAGATCTAGTAGAGTAATACAAAACCAACAGGCATGACATGCACACTTCTGATTCTGTGTAATTGAATTATTATTATTAAGTTATGAAGTGGAGTTTAATCATTGAGGTCCTTTATTTAAATATTAATTCTTCCATAAAAAGCAGGGGTGTCCAAAGTGCAGCCTGGGGGCCGTTTGTGATTTTGGGCGAACAGTGGAAAATGGAATGGAACGTTTTCTTCTTTTTGGATATTGTTTTCAGTTTTTCAAAAAAATAATATCCTCTTCAAAAAGTATTAGCTGCAAAAACATAGATTCCCATTTATAAAGGTTTTGAAGTAACCTAAAACACTGACCTGCTTTTTCAAAAGCAAATCTTACAACCCAAATAAGAAAACAATCAAAAAGAAATGTGGGTTTGTCTATTATTAGATACATACTACAATAATTTACTGATCTGTTTTCTACAAACATCCGACTATTTTGTTAAGCTCAATAAAAACGTAGTTCTAATTGAGCAAATAAAATGAAATATATATATATATTTTTGTGTCATTATGTGCTTTCAACTTAACGATTTTGGTCCTAAAGACAAAAAGTTTGGACACCACATCACTATATCAAACACAGTGGATGGGTTCTTTATGTCTGGGAAACTAGAACATCAAACCTGGTGGTTTTATTTTACGAAAATAAAAGATTTATCATTACCTTCTTCACAGCAATCTACAGCTGGAAAAGTTGAAACATTCATGTTTTAGGAGTCCAGACCTTCTGCATGTAATCAGACAAGCAGCAGAAAAACAAATTAAGTCTATGAATGCTTAATAAACCAATAAATATGCTGCAAGACTGACTTCCATTGTGTCAGAAGCACCAAAAAGCTTTATACATTGATGACAAAGACATGCAGCAACATTTCTCTGCAGCCTAGTGACCTCTTCACAGAGACAAATGGATTGAAATAATAATAATAACACGCATGCAGGCCAGCCCAGTATAACGTTGTTTCAGTATAAAAGTCAATTATGTTGTTGGCTTTTATATCAGACCAGTGAAATTCTTTGCTTTCTCCGTTCCAAAGCTAGTGATTCTCTGTGATAACAATAAAGTGCTCCTACAGGCTTCAGGCTCTGATGGTTGACTGTAAAAGTCACATATCCACTTTTAGTACATATAAAAACATATTAATGGACAGAAAGGAAAGGCAGAAAAGACACCATTAAGTTCAGTTTTATTTTACGTGTTGGCCTAACAATGCCACTGTCAAGAACAAGCAGTTAGCTGCTAAGCTAGCTAAGTATTTAGCATGCTAGCGCCGAAATGCTAATACAGTAGGACAGCCGTTTGACTCTCAAAACATAGTCTACACAGAATAGCTTAGTCAGATAACGAATATTACAAATTAAATACTATACACGTGGTTGGAGAACGTTAATAACCCGTAATTAAACGAAAATAACACAGTGGCTCTTTATTGCTTGTCCTCTTCTTCATCCGATAGAACTGTTTAGTTGCGCAGATAAAAAAAATACCCACAGCCGTTTCATGGATAGCACTGCCACCTTGTGGTGTGACTCAGCATTATATCTCCATTCATTATATTTTCAATCCCTTTAAATTGTTAAATTATCTATAAAAGAAAACAGTGTGAGCACATCTTTGTGTGTGTTACACCTAATTTGTTAATTTTGTTACATGCGGGATTCATGCTAACGTGCATTTAAAGACAGAACAGAGGACAAAGGTAAACATGGCAGTGTATTGTAAAACTTACGTCTCATGTCTCTGAAGTAAATGGTCTGTCTGTTGGGGTTGAGCAGCTGGATGACGGAGTCATCGTTGTTCTTCACCCGACAGCTGATGATCGCCGTCTCTCCCTCCACCACAGCCACGTCGTCCGTCACCAGGTTCTGACTCACCACTGCGTGACAGAAAGGAGACGGGAAGGCTTAAATTACGAGATTGCATGAACGCACCATAAAGAACATCATGCAAACCATACGGCCGACTCAAAATGAAGGTAAAAGTTAGCTCAATTTGACAAGAGAGGGACGCAGATCTTAACCCAGGAGTGTCTAAAGAACAGCCCGAGAGCCATTTGAAACCCCTGCTTGTAATAATAACTTTTTTTTTTTTTTTTGCTTTCTTTTGTTGAGAACAGGCTGAGTGTTGGTGAGAGAAATACAGCCAACTGATTCAGTTTTAACGCAGATCAAACACATCTGACGCGCCTCCTCCACGATTTCCTCCTTCCCGGTGAACAGAAACGCTTCGGGTCCAGACGAATCAGCGGGAGCCTTCATCGCTCAGATCGCTGCACTTCCTCATTGCTCAAACAATATCTGCGCCTGCAGGATGAAGCATGGAGCCGCTCCAGCTCCGTGTTGTTAGGATTTGAAAAAGTGCAGCAATAACCTCTCAGACTTCGCTTTGGGCTAACATCTATCGCTGCAGCTGACGGCTAGCCTGTGGTGGCGCTGGCTCGTTTTAAATGATGAGTGGAGAGCCGGGCCGGGCCGGGCAGCCAGCCAGCGGGGGGCGCCGGTGACGAGGGCCCCCGCCGACAGAACCACGAATCAAGTGACGGAAAACAAACAGGACGTCAAATTATCGGGAAATGAGTTCATTGAGAAAAAAAAAAAAAAAAGAAACCAGAGGAGGATCTGAAAGGTAAACACACACTGTGTATGTGTCACAATTTCTCCGAGCAGCTTGTCAACATTTAAAAATTAAACACCCAGAAATGACCCGGTTTATGAATTATAAACCAGAGCAGCAGCTAACCAAAGCACATCCAATTACCGGGATCAGACCTGTCTCCGAAAACACGCCGCAGATTCATGAGAGCAAATATGTTCCAGAGGAAAGAAAAAAAAAAATCATAATTTAACAAATGAGGTTTTCTATTAGCATCAGGAGGAGAACTGTGTCACGGCAACATGACAGGGTAAAGAACGGCTTTAATCATTTATGAATGCAGGAGCTACAGGCCAGCAACAACTGACTGCAGATCAGACACAGGTTTCAGATTTCAGAGGCTCATTTCCACCAAACGTCCGCTCCGCTCAACGCCACCGTTAAAACCAAATCAGCACCCAGCAGCTCCTGGACACCATAAAATGCCTCACATCACTCTGCTTGTGACAAACTCTGAATGTTTCTGTCTTCATCGGGTCTTTACATTGACTTCCATCCATTTTTTATTCATTTTTAACTAAAGGAACCATTAGGACTGTGGCAAATAAATAAATAAAATCGATTCGCGTAAGAACTGCAAAATATGTGATGGCAAATTAGGCGCACACAAATGAAAAAATACAAATGAAATAAAATTGCAAGAATAAAGTGGAAATAATATGAGTAAGAGTCATAACATTATGAGAATAAAGTCTGAATATTATGCCTTTATCCACAAAATATTATGACTTTCTTCTCCTAATTTTATTACGTTATTCTCAAATTCTTAAGAATTTTCTCATATTATTACGACTTTATTCTCGTACAAGCTAATTATTGTGATTCTATGTTTTAATGCTAATTTCATGACTTTATTCTCGTAATTTTATTTTTCTTAACGCGGCCCTACTATTCCATTGTACGATTGTAATTCAGAATCTATTGAAAATGTTTCAAATGTCAGCTGTCTGTCGGCCTCCATTTTATAACTAGATGGGATGTTCTTTTAATTACTTTAAAGGGACAGTCATATATTTTCAGGCACATGGTGCCATTTTATAGCACACTCAAGTAACTATGTTGTTTTTAGTTGCTATAAAATTGCTTTATATATCAAACATGACTTCAAATAAATTTTACTTCCTGATTAAACACCTTGAAATTTGGTCTCTGTGAGCAGCAGCTCCTATAATGAGTTCAGCAGTTCCACCAGCTGTTGGCTAGTTACTGCTGGCTAGTCTGAAGGAGCTGAGCCTCAAAGGCGGGGCTAGGTCCACCCAGGTGTTTTAACAGCTGAACTGTTGCCATGGAGATTAAATGATTTCTCAACATGAAAGAATCAAAGCAACACTCCAGGTTAGTTATTGATGAGGGAATAACATTAAACATGATGGAGAGATAAAAAATCAATTTTACATGAAACTGCCCCCTATGCGACATAGAAAGGAATTATAAACATTTTTCTCCATCCTTGGATACTTGTTTTCCAGTAGGATTGGATTTAAAACTTTGTATGCCCCGGCTGTTGTTGCCTCTGAAGTGCAGACAGCCGTATTGATTCCCTCGCTAGGAGGTTTCTCACCATTCAGAAGGTCAGTGGTTTGAACTCCAGAGTCAGAATAACCATGCATGAGATCCCAAAGCTCCACTTCTCCACCATGCATTCATTACTGAGTGATTTCTACAGGAATGTGCTTGTGAATGTGACCTCTACTACTGACGTGTTGAAGTGTTGCTAAAGAGGATAAAAACATCAACAGTTCACCATTTTACAACCGCTGTTCGCAGGAAAACCTGAACAAGTAGCTTCCCGCAACACTAACTACACTTTGACCCGTGGTTTTTAAAGTACTAATGAAGACAGACACAAAGTTACAAATTTAGAGGACCTGCAGTCTAAAGGTGCGTTCACTATAGCCCTGTTTGGTCCGCGTTAGTCCAACTCCAGTCCGTTTGTCTAGAAAGTCCGGTTCGTTTGGTGAGATGAGAACACAAAGTGGAACTCTGGGCCGCCTCCAAACCTCGATCTGGGTTTGGCTGAAGTGAACTCTGGTTCTGTTTGAATGCATATTCAAACCGGACCAGAGACCGCTCCAAAAGCAGGAAGTGGACTACAACACAGGGGATTCTGGGTAAATACAACTAAAACAAACCTGCTAGCCTAGTGCTAGTGGGAGAAATGGCTAGTGGTCTTTAGCCAAAGACAAATCCTGCAACGGCTATAATCTGATGCCTCCATTTTAGATTCCGTTTGGGAAGTAACACTCAGTGTTTTCTTCAGAGGTTTTTGTGTCATTTCCTTCAGTGGTTCTTGGTGCAGCGCCCCCAGAGGCGAGGAGGGGAACAGGTTGCTCAAAGGGTTAGGTTGGTTTGACTCGGAGCAGAGAGAAAGAGAACCACAGCAGCTGGAGGAGGAACAAATGATGAAGTTTTGTTCCCCAATAAAACCAAGTCGACTGGACCATCAGGAGAGAAAACAGCCTAAAAGTCTTCGAGAGTAGAATCAAATTCTGTCGGCAAGTTAGAAAAGTCCTGGAAAAATAAGTTTAAATAATCTTCCACCATATTAAGTTTTAGTTTATGTTCTATCAAAACACCTGGTTTGGTTCAGGCATGAAGCATATTACAGATCAGACCATTAACACATGTGCAAACGGCTGTTTAATGCAGATATTACACCATTGTTTTGGCGCCCCCTGTGGCGCGTCAACCCTATGCGTCGCATAGCCATTTTTTGCACCACTGTTTGCTAATGAAACAGGAAACTCCTCCTCTCTCCGCCCGCTGGAAGCAGCTCTGATTCTTCCTGAAGCTCACGATGGCGGCAGCGGCCGTTAATTAACCTCCGCCTCCCTCCGCCATGTCAGACGTGTTTATTTTGCACAACAGGAACAATTAAGCCGCTGACAAGGCGGCCTCATTTAAAGTCGTCCCCGGCAGACACCTTGCGGCCCCCCGCTGTAACCTTCAGTGGTGCCTTGAAATGCGTTTGGCTGTATGGAAGACATATTATCATAAGCAGATGCCCACGCTGCCGCCCACCGCAGCTCAGCTCCGAGAAACGAGGTCGGCTCCTGAATATCAAAGACGCGGAGGTTCATTTAGTTGGGGTTCTGTTTGGGCCGCTGAGGCCCGGCGAGGCCCGCTGATCTGAAGCTCATTTGTTAAGCTGTCTGTCCTCATCCGTCAGCATCACAACAGCCAATTTCTCCTTCCCTGCTCATCTTCCCGTCTCCTAATGGCCGGGGATGTTCAGAGCTTTCTTCACTTCTGAGGTATGCAGATAAGAAGTTCACGCTCCTCCCTGTGCTGGCCTGTCTTCTCTTTATTTTAATCGTTCATTAAATCAATGGAAATTGCTTTTTTTTTTTACATCTGTGAGCGTTGTTAGCGCTCGTATCTCACGAGAAGCAGATTTGTCTGATCATAAACATCATATCTGACAACCTTCAGCCTCCACCTGTTTGTGAGAGATGTCGTGTTTATTAGGTGAGTTGATGCCGCCGTGTGATCTCTTATTAGATTAAATTAAAACTAATCAAAAGCAATATTGGGCCGCAGAGACTGAATTGGCTTGCAATCTCGTCTACTTAACATCAGCGACCCGCGCGGTGTGTGCGGCGTTCCTCTCAGATCGTCTGACGACAACGGAAATCGATGACTCTTGTTGCAAAACATTGTTATTTGTACGTATCTGTTTAAATTTTGTAAGTATGCATATGTATTCTTGTTTTATAATTGATTTGTCTGAAATAAAAGGAAACCAGCTGATCCTACAGACTACATTTCCATTACAAATGTTAAGAAAACACTATTTCACAGTTATGGTATTTCTATTAAATAAGAAACATAATTAAAATAATCTTGTAGCTGTTTTTGTTTGCGTGATAATTTATGAAAAAACACCACAGCACCATTCCCCTCCATCTACTTCCTGTCGTCTTCTTCCTGGTTTCCGCCAGTAGTAACATCCGACTGTTGATCATGTGACTCGTCTCATGTGAAAAAAGTGTTTCTATCGCAGTTTTGCAAAGTAGACCAACATGGATACAGCTGCAAATAAACACCTCATTCTCACACAAAAACGTTCTACTGAAATGAGATAATTGGCGCTTTTCCATTACGCAAAATTATTTTAGAAATGTGAAATTGTGCAATTTTACGGTCAATGGAAACGCAGCTATAGAAGGAGGGTGACTGGGTCCTCTTTACTTTGTGTGTTTTATTTGGATTTTTTTGAGACAGAAATGTGAAGTTACAGAAAAGTTCTTGCTAGTTTTCATAATTATGCCATTAAAGGTCTGAAAAGTGTGGCATGCATCCGTGTTCAGGCTCTCTGAGTCATAGAACAGTGGTTCCCAATTAGGGCAGGGCAATAAATCGATTTTATTGATTAATTGGATTCTTGATTTTTTTTTGGAAAATGTTATTTTTGGATATAGTTCAGAGTGATGTTAACACGCCCAAGTTCTTGTAAAACTGTCTTTATTCTGCTGCTTCTCGATCACCTGATTATAACAACAGATTAATAAACGTAAACTTTCAGTTGCTGCAGCTCATTTGAACTCGTTCCAGTTATTTTCTCCAACATGAATGTATTTGATGTTTTCCATGTCGGAGTGTGAACAGATTATGATCCTGCAGAGATTATGAATTCCTCTCTGACATTTCAGACGCTGTGTGTTTCTCAGCAAGTCGAATACGATCGTTTTCTCCTTTTTTGCCGCACACACACACGTACGAGGCTAAGTGTGTGTTAGTGTTCTGTACACAGAAGGGTGATTGCATGTTTTCTGATTGCAGGCGTCGACTGAAAAACGATGATTTGTGTGAAGCCTCTGAGGCCGGAGCTTTTTGAAAGTTGGGAATCATTTTCTGTGATATCGTGGTGAGTTCAGGAAAAATCCGTCATCATCCTGATCGTTACAGAAAAAACAAACGGTATCCTCACTGCACATTTATTTATCATATGGGTCTGCAATTAAAGTACAAGTTTTAGAAATCAATAGTCTAAATGACTCATGGGCCAAAAACTGAGGACAAAAACAGAAAAAATACAGACATTTTTAAACCTATTCAAATACAAGTTTCACAAGTTACAAGTTACAATAATGTAACTGAATGTTTTGATAGTAAAGTCTCTGTTGGATGTGTAAATAGTTGTAGATCCTAAATGTTAGAAGGGTTTTGCAGGTTTGTTCTATTAAAAGAAACAGATCCACTTTGTGAATTTTTAAATATTTATTTTGTAAATTCTGAGCAATAAAAACAAGATTAAGGTTACTTTTATTAAAAAGTGTCATAGCAGTCCAGGGGCCACAAGCCACACTTTGGACACCCCAGCATAACCTTCATGTCATGCTAATAATAGCAGTAAATCTTTTTTTTTTTTTTTTTTTTTACCAATAGGTTTAGGTTTGTTGAATCTTGTGTTCTGCAGGTAAACCTGCTTTGTGCCACACTTTTTCCTTTCCAGTAACTTTCCAATAACATGCAGCACTCTGTTAGCAACCAGTGTCATTAGCGATGATCTATGGTGGCTGAGTTATAATTGTCATGTCAACACAGCCATAGCTTAATATTTTTATATTAAAAATCCATTTTAATTCCAAATGTGAATAGGAATAATACAAAAAAACTGTTTTGGATCCAGGTTGGAGGTTTATCTTTTTAAATTTAATTTCTGGGATAAAAAAAAATATAAATATATATACATATGTAGGCTTTTTTTAATCTAAAAATGTAGTTTTAGCTACATTTTTACATCTGTAGTGTTACATCTGTAAGCTGCACCTTAAGAACCTGACAGAGAATCGGTTTTAGGTTTTGTTCCTTTGAGCGGGTCCTGGTACCGTTCTGGACTGGAACCAAATCCTGCTGGAAAATGGAACCAGCCTCTCCATAAAGCTCATTCAGCAGAAGAAAGCATAGATTTTCAAGTCTTAGTTAATCAAAGTTAATACTGCCACACTTTTTCCTTCCACTCAACTTTCTATGAATATGACATAACTTTGTTTTTGACACGTAGTTTTTTTTTGTTTGTTGTCATTCTCTTTACGCCATATTAATCCAAAGAAAAAGACACATCTAGAAGAAATATTGAACTTTTTCAGGAGATTCTCGGTTTTTAAGCTCCCACCATTTTGCATGCACTCTATTATTCAGGCTTATTTTGTTACTCTATAAATTTTCAATGTTGCTAAAATCCCTTTAAAGGAGTATTTTTCTATTATATTGAGGCGATGAAGCAGAATGTGAATACAGAATCTCATCTGAGGCCTTGACATCTCAGTTAACAGCCCGCTCCTCTGAGCTGCTGAGAAAAACAAATTAAATTGTTCTGATTTTCCTAAAAATGCTTCAAAGCGATGCACATGTTGTTTTTTAAGGAGTAGTGGGGAACATAAAGGTTACGATGGAGGCAGGCGAGTCTGTTGCTGAATAATTGTGCACACGGTGTAATAACATGTTACAAGCTCACGTCATGCGTTTTTATTCAGATCAGTGAATATTTGACAGTAAAACTGCGGCTTTAAAATGAGCCTGAAGCGCCGAACTCAACCATCAGATGGAAGTTACAGGAAAAAAAATCATAAACTTGTCCTTTTCTCACTTCCAATCTGATATCTGAGGTTTAGCATCAACCGATCCAAAAAAATCAGCCGAATTTTTCTGGAAAGCATTGTTTATTTATTTTGGATATTTAAAATGTCCCCCTCTTCCAGTTCTAAGTGTTCTCAAAGTTTATTGATCTTTGAGGATGTGTTCTTGAATTTTAATTATGTCATTACCATGGTATCATTTGAAAATGGTCTCAAAACGACAATATTATCGTTTATCACGATTACTTCTGGGGCGATTTATCACGACAGCTGCCTATGCGAATTTATTTAATTTATGCATTGCAGTTGGAGACAGCAAAGAAATCTGCCACAAATGGCCCCCGCGCCACACTTTGGACACCCCATCCTTTACTAGGAAAGGAGGCTTTTTTAAAAATATTTCCACTGATTTTTTTCTGACGTGAGTGTAGAGAAGCTGCTCTGAAACGTTCAGCCATCTTTCATCGATTCAAAGAGGAAAGATTTATGTTAGCTGTTCCACTGAGCTGATTTTAATTACAGTAAATCTGTCATCAATTCCTTCTAAATTATAAGGTGCAAGCGATGACGATGATGATGCAGCAGGCTTCATCCTCCACCTTATAATTTAGAGCTGGAGCAATAAGAAAACCGATGGTGTTCATTTTTTAGGTTATATTTTCAGACTTTTACTTATTCAGCTGCATTTTCAGACTCATTTTCCTGCTCTTTTGGTTTCTAAAGGCCTCTTCATATCGAGAGCACTTAAAACTCACTTAAAACGTGTGTTTATATTACGATCCGCGCAAAGGAAGCTCATCAAGGTCAGCAATACAGTCTTAGAAAAAGGTTCTAGTCACGGAGACTTAACAACAAATCCAAACATATCAAATGACGCTGAATTGTTTCTGTTGTGGGTGAAAACCTTTAGTTGGAATTTAAAGCTGCAGGCATCTGAATGTCAGGAGGAATTTCAATCATTTCTATTGGGGTGCAGGACTCAGATGTATCTGTTGTAAAAAAAAAAAAAAAAAAAAAAAAAAAAAAAAAACTTCCCCAAATAAACCCCAAATTAAAATCTCCTCTTTTTTGTTTT